ATTCTTTCTGATTACACGTAAAAGTGGGAGGGCAAAGGGACCGGAACTAATCCCATATATGGGTAATGTGTGACCCGGCACGAGGATGAATTTCACTCTCAGATGAATAACAACTGTGGGTTAAATGACAAAACACAGCACGTGTTCTGTGTCACAGTGACTCAGCTGTGGCGTTAAGGTTGGGTTATTCTTTAACCCAGCACGTTATCGCGGCTGAGACGCTTCAGCAACCTTCCTTGTGCTCAAACGTGGCCTGGTATTGTTCTCCTCTCACTGCTGCTATGATCAAATATGGCTTTCGGGCTCTTTATTGCTCTCAATACTTAAGGAAGCTGCAAAGACAAGCTGCAGAGGAGTGAGACCTCCCGTCTACTCCCCTCCTCTCTGCTTCCCCTCCCGCTTATCGCCGAGCCCAGGCGGGTCATTTGCATAAAATGTGTGTCAGTAGGGCAGCTCCGGCTCACATGCCATGCGCACATGCTGTAGAGCTTTAAGCAGCATTCCAGTGTCGACCGAGCCCAATGTGCCGTCTCCACGCGGGGCTGCCGGCCAATGAAAAAGTGAGAACGAGTAAAAAAGAGTGGGGGCGTGAGGGGAGGAGGGGGGTGAAATGTTTTCAGAGAGCGTGACAGAGAGAGAGAGAGAGAGAGAGAGAGAGAGAGATCCCTGATACACATCAACAAACAAGCGTTTGGAGGGACGCAGAAAAAAAGAGAGAGAGAGAGAGCAGGAGGGAGAGAGAAAAAAAATGGTCACATTTCTCAGGCACCTGAAAACGTGCTGGTTATTTTAGGACGCGTGCTGCTTATTGATGAGTGGGGAGTGTTTAAACTACTTCCACTGTGATCATGTTTTGATGGTGACTGTACATGGCAAGCAGCTGAACGCGTTGGGACCTTCAGTAATCTAGAGAAGCCCCATTCAGTGATACACTGCCACAAGCCTGGCATTTATAAGGTGTTCGGAGCGGAGAGCAGAGCTGCTGCACCTTCGGGAAATTTATCTGGATCAATAAGATCTTGATTTTTTTTCTTCAAATATTTATCCTTATCTCGTTTTTTTTTTCTTTCTTGGCTGACCGGGTTTTCTCAAGAAGATCGCCCCCCCTCCAATGCCCTGTGCACACTCCTTTTGCTCTGAGCTTTGGGATACACTCTATATGCCTTGGCAGTTCATGACTCTTTCACCTGTGTCAACGAAACTCCTCGGTGGCGAGCAGCGGCAGTCGGTCCAGCATTAAACGCCCTCAATTATACAGCACGGAACAAGAGAACAGCATCGATCTACTAGGAAACATGGAAAATAGTCCCGGTGGTGAGTATCTTACTGTAATACTTTTATTTTTTATTTTTTTTACTTGAAGCCAATGAAAAGATCATCTCAGTGCTATTAGGACTTATTTCGATTGGTGCGTAATTGGAACAGATGGCACCGCGCTTTAACAGATATTATGGAGGATTGTACATTTTCTGTAGATTTTTTTTTCTTCTCCCAGGAATTCATATGTATTTACTGCTTCAATATCAACGAACCTGCTTATTGGTGTATGTGTAGAGTTGATGCTTTCGGTTTTTATTCTACATCTGAGTTTAGTGCATCTGATTTTACGCGGAACACCTGAAACCCAGGATTCCATCGAGACTGTTTGCATGCTGCTGTTGAAAGCTGTCGAACAGGAATCATGTATCATTTCCTTGCTTTTTTAACTGATTCCGTTCAACATATGGCGCGTTGCCAAGTGCTCCTGGGCTGCAGACAGTTGAGGCTTGTGAGTGAGAGAGCTGTGCGCACAGAGGGAAGTCCTCTCGTCAATCTTTGCGGCGGACTTCCGATTCTCTGCATGTAAACAAACTCACGTGAAGCGCGACCCTAAACGCCCCCCTGGCCGGGCTACTTCTTCCTCCTCACTGGTTAATCCCGCTGCTTTAACATATTATAGGCTTTATTCTCAACATACTCGCTGTCAGATTTTTTGCCGAGGTGCTTGACTTATGTGGAACTTCTCGTTCCCTAAAATCTTGGCGCATGTGCGGGAAGTTGTAAAGTCTGTCGGTTGTAGCGTGTGTGTGATTCATTTCACTTGGCTGTTTTTAAAAATAATTTTGGCTTTGGCGTGCCTTTTTTTTCATCCTCCCTCTCTCCAAACACATGTGAGTGAGCTGTGTCAAGGAGCAGTTGACGCCCACTGGGTCAAAAAACAAGTAACCGGTGCCAATTTTTCCATCCATAACCCTGCTGGAATGAGTTGGAGAACATTGCTCGGAGTAAACACGTAGTGTTGCCAGGATTTGAATCACAGTGTAAATGTTGTGCGCCCGGATGATGAATGAGTGGGTCATGTTTTAGTCAGAAAAGACGCCGATCATTCAATTAAAATCAATTGTGCGCGGCGAATGGCTGGATAAGATATAGAATGGCGAAGCAGGATCTAGGGGGGTTTACGCACGATGGCACACATCGGTCAAAATTAAGCCTTAGCTCTAATATAGACAGACGTTATAAAGTCCTTGAACAGCGGGTGGCCATTATGACTGTCGTGTCTTTTCATCTGCTCCCCGCCCAGTGCACCCTGGGTAGAAACGGTCGTGATGCTGCGAATCATGCGCCTGATTTTTAATACGCAGCCTCCCCGCCTAGACCTGACAGCACGTGTATCCAGCCTCCGTATCCACGTGCCGCGCATGATTCCAAGAGCCGAGCGCGCCTCCCTCTCGGTCGTTCCTCGCTGTTGCGCGCACTCTGATGCTCGCGCCCCGGACGCACGGGGATTCCTCTTTATTCGCTGATAGATTGGTCAGTGGGTCACAGAGGTTTAGCAGCTTTTTCTCTCCTTCTGGTTACAGTAACTGCGCGGAAATGTTCATTAGAGGGTTTGCAAAAAGCGGCATTTTACGCGAGGCAGCATAACGCAGTGGGTGGTGTCTGAGAGGACACATTAACCTACATTTGGCTGAATTCAACCTGTTTTTTTTTTTTTTGGGTGGCATGGCTAACCAGTTACCATTTCTATTTCAGTGGAGTAGTCCAACATTAACACAAGGGCTGACATAACTAAACCATTATCATACAATCATAGAGCACTGGAGGTATAAAATGTCACTATGCTCCTAATACAGGTTATGATGGATAAAACAAACATAAGTCAGTTAAGTTAAAATGGAAGAAGTTGTGCATTATCATCATTTTATCTGTTTTCTGATTTACACTGTGTTTTTTGTAGGTATAATGGTATGGAATATTTCTATGAAAGGACTAAATTACAATTAATTTTATAATTTACTCCTAGGTTTATTTTGAAAACAGGATTTTCCAGGCTGCTAGTACAGTCCGAATAAAAAAAGAGGGCCAAAGGTATAAAAGGACAATATCTAAATGGTTTAGAATTACTAAAAATGACAGAAGGTACCAAGATTATTCAGCACATTAAGTACAGAGCAGCTGCTCCATTTAGATTGTCATAATGGCTTCATGTGTTTTTTATAGCATTTTAAATATTGCCCACTGTTGACTGGTCAAGTAGGCCAGTAGTGTTTGCCTCTTATTAACAGTAATCCATTGGAAGATGAATACATCAGTAAGTGCCCCTACTGGGCTCTGCTTTCACTGGTTGAAGCCCAAACTGAACATTTACTAGGAAGAATGTTGGGGTCATAGTTAAATGACTTTATTCTAAGTATAGTTCAGTGTCCCCAAAAGGAAAGATGAGCATGACTCTAACGTGGCTGTGACATTTTTGAAAGTGTACCAAAGAACGACTGCGACGTCAACGACTCCCCTCAATGTAACATGCAGTATTCAGAGAGCCGGCCTTATGATCCAAGCACATGACCGCTGCCTGACTGATATGGTCTTTAATGATGCAAAAGATAGAGGTCATACTCTGAATGAGCATAATGTCTGAAGAGCAGGCCTTTTTTTATTTATTTTTTTGTATAAATGTAAAAAAAAATGAAGACGTTAAAGCAGATAAATGCGTCACAGGTGTCACTGGTACAAGCAGGAACAATAAGCCTAATGCTGAGCTCTGATGCCAGTCCTGAAACCAGACTCTGTGTGGCTGACAGACGATCACACGGCCAGCTAATTCACATTAAAAGCCCAGCTGGATTCGTACGATAGATTGTATTTCTCGAGAAGGATCAAGTATAAGCTGCTTTTTTTTTCTCTTCTATGTAAATGCAGCCAAACTGGCAAGTTCAACTTTATAACTCCTCAATCAAAAGTTCAAACTGGAGTAACACATTTCTTTATATAGCAGTAAAAGATCTTCTGAAGTTTGTGTAACATAGAGGATTTTTTGCCCTCTGCTGCCTTCAAGACCCAGCCAGCTTCATAAATAGACACAAAACATGAGGCCAGCTGTTTCACGTGGATGGAGGCTTACCACCCGTGCACATTAGTAAATATTCACATGAAAGAGGACCGACTAGTTGGAAGTTAAGGGGAGGCGTCTCCTTTAGACATGACATGAGCATGATGTCTATACAGTTTGCCTGTCATGCGTGCATGCCCAGGGGGAGGGAACGCATGAGAGGGGGAAGTCAGAGAGGATTGGCAAAAGGAGGGGCGTTGGAGCGCATTGTTTATTCTGTAGTCCTTATGGCTCTGTGTGTATCCACAGGTCACATGTTGTAACCTGTGCCTGGCTGCATCTGAGATGATGTTCCCAGCGCTCACTCTGTCACCCAGTCAAGTCAGATTCCAGGAAATAGTTACGAGGCGCTGGAATATGGGATGTTTTTACACCAGACGGTGGTGGGGAAGTGAATGTGAATGTAAAAAAAAAAAAAGTGGGCGTGGAGCTCATGTGACAAACAGGGTGTGACCCCCCCGTCTCCTGCAGGTGATACACATGTCCATAAAGCTTTATCTTTTCTGACACAACACACGCAGGAAACGGCACATTTGTGTGCACAGTAAAGTCACTGCATGGCTGATACTGGAGCTGCCACTGAGCCCAGAGTACCTCGCATTCAGCGTTGACACGTGTGAGCCGTGGAATTAAGGAGGCACTAAGAGCTAAACAGAAATGCAGCACGTGTTTTCTCAAGGAGAGAAAGCACAAGAGACAAGGGAGAGAGTTTTCTCAGATGATTCAAGGTCCTTGAGAGGAAATGTGCTCAGAAAGACAGTGCAGACAACTCAAGGTTACTGTTACTACTTCAGATAACGCTGCTTCTATGCACTTGGACCTTCGTTTGAACTGATTTCAGCTGTGTTGCAAACCCGAATAACTGGTTGTTCAGTGGCAATTCTGGTATGATAGGGACCCACAAGGTGCAGTCCCGATCAACATAATGTGAGCCCAGTGACGCAGATTGTGAATGAACACTGAAGCATATAATTTCTGCACTTGTGAAATGTCACACTTGGCAGACCTTAAGGTGTTCTCATACCTGACACAGTGATCTAATAATAAATTAAAAGTTGGCCAAACTGTGAATGATGAAAAAGGACAAACGGCTACCAGAACAAGCACAAATATCTAAATTGCTGAAGCTGTGAATGTCTGCAAGAGTAAAGATCTGGTTTTCATTAGTCATTTTTATTCCCATAATACTATAAATTAAACTAATTGTCAGTTTTACAAGTGGATATATTGGGTTTAGTGGGTTTGCCCTCCTCCCATTCTTGTACATCTAATTGCGCAAAAACATGCACAATGCTCACCCAGGAAATCATTACAGTGGCGAGCAACAACGTGACTGTTAACCCTCTGCACGGTTTCTAGTGACTCTGTGGAATCAACTTATGGTAGCTGTGCCCCGCTTGCTTTCCTCTACGTCTGTAGTCACAGCATTAAAGGCTTCTCTATTCCAAACGTGATCTGCCCTAACGCTTGTTATGGTGCTGCTGCTGCTGCTGTTGTCTACACGGGACTGCGCAAAGAGCCTTGTGAGCCGGGCGGGAACTGTGTCAAGAGTCCATGTGAGCTCCTGGTCAGGTGGCTGGCGGATAGATGGGTCTGCAGGCCCAGAGCCAAAGTGGGGAGGGAGGGAGAGAGGGAGGGAGGGTGAGGAGGCAGGAGGGGAGGAGGATAGAGAAGAAAGGAGGGGGCAGGAGAAGGGAGAGTAGAAAAGACTCTGTTCTGAAAGCGAGCAGGCAGGGAGCTGGCTGGCTCAGCCTGCACGTGAGGGGCAGTCTTTCATCTTGCGTGGAAGAACAGTGTCTGCAAAACAAAAGGGGGGCGGGTGGGCGTTTTGTTTAGGGGTAATAGGGCATTTCCGACTTGATGTGACATCCCTAAATAAAGGCTTATTTATGGCCGGCTTGTGGCTCTAGAATAATGGCTTACTGTCATACTGTGATATAGCATGACATGTTTTATATGGTTCACTATGCTGCAAGATTTCCTTTGTGTGTGTGATGTGATACATTGTAGACTATTGTTTCTCAGAAATGCACCTCCTGTAAAAAATCTTATCAGATCATGACAGTCTGAGATAGTTTTATTTTAATCAGGTAACATACTATGACTGTTTGCTGTGGGTGGGAGTTTGTTGTCATTAGTTCTCTTTATTCATATATCAATCTCCAGCTAGCTTCGAGGATGCCAAGATATCACTAATCGGAAAAAGAAAGCCACCGGCAGCGTATCTGACAGGTGTTTTTGTTTTTTTCTAAGGTGGCAATCACACAGCCCTTTTTTGTTGAATTCATTTCTTTCTTGACTATCAGGTTAGAACCTGATAAGACTTCCCACAGACAACCAGGTCAGACCTGTTGTTGCTCGGGCTGTGACATTTTTTTCTACATTATTTATCAGATCAAATTTCTGTTGTCCCAACTTGGCCAGGGTTTTGTGTGTGTTTGCAAAAGTCTGCCAAGTAAGCTCACTGCATGGAAGTAGAGCATTGCTCAACACTTTACTCTCTCACCTACATTGCGTATGTGAACACGGACCCAGATGAAGATCAGTGAACTGAGTTGTCTCCCCTCTCTCTGTTCCTCCAGGTGGTGTGATCTTGTACGCTGGCTCTTCTGGTAGTGCCAGTCCAAGCCCTGGCAGCCCTTCAAGTGGATACCAGACCCAGTCGCCCTCCTCGCACTCACAGCCTTCATCCCCGGAGGGTGTCTCCTTTCAGGAGATTGGAGCCCTGAAGCAGCGGGGGGAGCGAGGGGGAAGAACCTCTTCTCCAAAAATGGTCTTTCAGTTTCCTGAAGTCAACAATGCTCCAGTCGCCCAAATTTCGACGGTATCATCAGCAACCTACAACCATCCCACGGTGGCCAAAAGGCCGTGCGGTTTCACCGGCACATTCACCAGTATGTACCTGCTCACTTTCCCGCTTCCTCATCTCTTTGTTTACCAGCCAGCAGTTTGTATTTGTAATGTCTGTGTCTGATAATGGATGTACTCCTGTTTCACAGAGACCGGAGGTATGGTGCTTTTGTGTAAGGTGTGCGGAGACATTGCATCTGGGTTCCATTACGGCGTACATGCCTGCGAGGGCTGCAAGGTGAGACCTGACAAAGACGGAGTTATGTCATGCCTGTTCAGCATGCGTACAGTCGCACTGACACAAAAGACACTCTTCTAATGCTTTATTCTTCATCTGCCTTATCCAGGGTTTCTTCAGACGCAGCATTCAGCAGAACATCCACTACAAGATGTGCGTGAAGAACGAAAACTGTCTCATCATGCGCATGAACCGAAACCGGTGTCAGCACTGCCGCTTTAAGAAGTGTCTCTCCGTGGGCATGTCCAGAGATGGTGAGAGACAGTGTTAATGTCCTTAAAGACAATATTTAGACACTCAGGCAGTAGAAGTGGAATTATTTTTTTGTTTTGTCAGTGTAGCAGCAAAGAGGAGAGTATTTTGTTGATATAATGAAGAGTTACACAGGGAATCAGATGCTAAAGCTTTACAAAATCTATTATTAAAAATGATTTAATGTCATAGCTTTTGATAAAAGTACGATTCCGCTTTTGAAACTGTTCTAAAGCCGGTCCAGAATTGTCCCTCTCCTCACCATGAGACTGAATATTCTCTCCATCTTCTTGCCACTCTCCTCCTTTTGTCTTTTGTTCCCTCTTGCCTCCCTCTCTCCTTGCACTGCCTTCTGATTTATGGCAAGAGCAGCTCAAGAGTCCCAGTAGTCATCAGTCAAGTAGAAACTATGAAAAATATGGTTTATTTTAGGAAATTGGGGCACAAAGTTGTTGATTACCCCTTGTGTTCACGGTGATGTACAGCCTTTCCTGACACTGGCATTTCCAAACCATCATTTGAAACATAATGTTATTCTGTCCTGTTAATCATGAAAACCTACACTGCTCAACTTTAAATTAAAATAATATTACCGCAGCTAATCTGCTCCACTGCATTGTTTCACCCACAGGAGTTCGGTCTCCCGGGGTAAGGCTAAACTAGGTGATAATAAATCATGCTTTTCTTTTTTTTCCAGAGCAAACATTTTTAGTTGACCCAAAAAAAAAAGCCAGAATGTGGGCGTGAAAAATCATCTGCTAATTCATCGAATTGCAATCGAGCAAGCACGTCCTTATTTTGTGATTATGCACATACATTAAATGAGTACGAAACAGTTGATTAGCCGTCCTGTCCACTTCTGTCATTTACGCTCCTTTTCGTTATCCTTAACTTTGAATGAAAAGGAGACCAGAGAGCAAATGAAATTTTGATCGTGCAATTTCTTTCCCACCTGTCACCCTTTCGCCCGCTCTCCTCGTCCCACCTGCCTCTATTGTCTTTGACCTTTCCTCCAGTCGCTCACCCTGTCTTTCCTAATGACATCATATTCAGCGCTGTTGACCCAGTGACCTACTTCCACAGAAAAAGAGAGAGCGAGTGCTCAACTGAAAGGCAGAAAAAGAGAGAAAGACTAAGGGGGAGGTGGTGTAGCATACAGCGTACTATAAATAGGACTGTCAGTGGAGGTGCAGAATTGAAAAGGGGGGGAAGGGAGGATTGTAAAGGCTGAAGAGGAGGATGAGGCGGGCGGATGAGATGAAGGCTTTAGTGACCGTTCTGTAGTGCGGCAGCTGTGATGGAGACAAAACAGTCAGAGACAAAAGAGAGGTCTTGGGATTAGTAATACACATAGAGATTACAGCCTGAGCGTCAGATGTGGGATTCATATTTAGACAGGGACAGGTTGTTCCCCTGCACTGTTAGAAAGTGAACATTTTACCTGCCTGAGTGTCTCAGCTGTTTAATGTTTAAAATGAAGTGCTGCCAGTAAAGATCTGGCAGCGATACCAATAGTTGTTGTCAGTAAATGCTAACAGAGGATGCTCTCTTCTTGCTGCTGTTCTCCTCAGCTGTGCGTTTCGGGCGTATTCCCAAGCGAGAGAAGCAGAGACTCCTGGACGAGATGCAGAGCTACATGAACAGTCTCAATGAATCAGCTTCCATGGAAATGGAGGTGTCGCCTCCTCCCGATGCCCCCTGCAGTCCACAGAACCAAACGAATGAAGGAACTGGCTCCATATTGCAGTCTTACCGCGGTGACGAGAAACCGCTCAAGATGGCCGCCGGCAACAACAACCTCAGCGCTTCCTCCTTCCAGAGCGGCTCGGCGCAGGAAGCGGCCCTGTCGCACCCGACCGGCCACACGCAGCACACGGTTCAGGTGGAGCAGGCCAACCTGGCAACAAGCTACCACGTGCAGACGAACTACTCCGTCAGCAATGAGAGCTCCACCAACACCAACGTCGACAACGCCAAGTACACCTTCTCCTCCAATCAGAATCAGTGTCCCGTCACTGGCAAAATGTCATCTCAGTCCTATGCAGCCAACCAGAACAGTTTCCAAGCCCAAGATTCCCAGAACCAAAATTCCTGCCCTTGGAAGCTGAATGGAGGAGCCAAAGTGCTGGTGAGTTGTTGTTTTTTTCCACTTATTGAGCCTGTAAAAATGTAATTATTGTCATTATAAAAGCCATAATTCTCCTCTCCTCTCTGTTTTCTCTGCCTTCTATAGGCATGTCCTCTCAACTCGTGTCCCGTGGCTCCGGCCAGTCGCTCCAGTCAGGAGGTGTGGGAGTCTTTTTCCCAGTGTTTCACCCCTGCTGTTAAAGAAGTGGTGGAGTTTGCAAAGAGCATCCCAGGGTTCCAGACTCTCAGCCAGCATGATCAGGTCATGCTGCTCAAATCTGGCACCTTCCAGGTATGTCCATTTACAAAGAAACTTTTACTGGGTTTTTGCAAGTTTTCTTTTCATTCCTTTTTTTTTTTCATTTCAGTCTTTTCTGACACTGATCTCTCTTATTCTGTCCACAGGTTCTTATGGTGAGGTTCTGTTCATTGTTTGACCCCAAGGAGAGAACGGTGACCTTCCTCAACGGACAGACGTACTCACTGGCATCACTGAGAGCTCTCGGCATGGGCTCCTTACTGGACGCCATGTTCGATTTCAGCGAGAAGCTTGGATCTTTGGGTCTGGAGCCAGATGAGATGGCACTTTTCATGGCTGTTGTGCTGGTTACTGCCGGTAAGACTGACACACTTAGATGCAAACAGGCACATGGTGTCCTCGGAGCGTCAGTAAAAAGCAGCTGGATATTTGCTTTTAGGTTCTCGAGGACGTTTTTACCTCTCGTCCAAGAGGCTTCTTTAGCGATCAGAGCTGAAACATCTTCAAGAGCCTAAGAGAAAACTCCAGTTGCTTTTCACTCCTTGGACTACCATGACCTGGATGATTGAGAATCTACACAGACAGAGAAGCACATCGTACGCAGACAAATTTTGTCATGCTTAAGCCCTCTTTCTCCTCTTTTTCTCCAGATCGCGCCGGTATAGTGGAGGTGGGAGCAGTGGAGCAGCTGCAGGAGAATCTAATAAAAGCCCTGCGTTCGCTCATCACCAGTCGCCGCCCGGATGACAGCACGCTCTTCCCAAAGTTGCTGCTACGTCTGCCGGACCTGCGCACCCTGAACAACCAGCACTCTGACAAGCTTTTAGCTTTCCGCATAGACCCTTGAGTTCAGATAGCTCTCAGTTCAATGAGCTGTCTGTTAACCTCCTTGGTCCCCCGTGCGAGCCCGGCTTGCAACATTCAGTACACTGGCCTCTGCATGATGGACAGTTGTTGTGGGAGCTGTGCCAAGTCTGATGCTGTAAGAGAGAAGACTGGGAAAAATATCAGTGAAGAACGTGGGCACAGCAGGAGGCGGAAGCTCCTGAACTTTGACTGATTTCTTCTCCAGTTGCTTCCAGATTGACTGCTCGAAAAAAACTGACAAAAACATAGACTGTGTTCTTCCATGAGTTTTTCAAGTCAAACCACCATCACGTTTCCCTCCCGGAGTTTGTCAGAAACAAAGTTTATCTTCTGAAGACCAAAAAGAAGAGAGAACTCGTTGTTCCTCACCAGACTTTGTTCTCCTCTCCCAGCTCACAGAGCGAACAAGAAGGAAGCACACAACCCGGAGAAAGCAGAACACGGACAAGCATTCACCAATAATGATTTCTTACTGCACATTCTTGCTACAGGTGTAAAGGCACTTTCCATGCATTGAAAAACCTCTTAAATCAATAGATAACATAGCAATAGCAATGTTCAACACACAGTTAGGAGAACAGTTTGTGTTTGCCCTGTTATATGACATAAGCTATTTTCACAACATGTCACCATGTGGAAGATCTTTATGAAAATCACCCATTTGTGATTGAAAAATGTATAACATTTTTAAGAAATGAGACTAAGTTGCATTGTATTTGTATAAGGTAATCAGGGAGAAATTATTGGTCATTTTAGACCATGTCTGGTGGGATAATGTTGTGTTTATTGTAAATTTTGTACATAACCATGATTCTTGGTTCGTACCCTTGTTAGTTTGCAGATTCTTGAATATGTACATGAAATTAGTATTGAAATATTGTATGACGTCTCACATAACAGATTGCTCTACAGACTGCAAAGAGAAAGCAGCATTTAAACCATGTGCTCTGAGTATAAACTTTTTATTTGGAGATATAAAATTGAAATAAATGTATTGTCAACAGACAGCATCAGCTTGTGAATATTTTGTAAATGTTTTATGGTTACACCACAGAGTACCATTATTAAATAAGGTTATATAGCATCTTTCCTTGTGCTCATCTTTTTTCATTTTCTTCCCGAATGCGATGCCGAGACATACCATGGAGCCGTAGCCTAGCAACAGAAGCAATCAGCCAATCATGGTTCAGGTTTGAGAGCCATTAGGGGCTTTATTACTAACAAGAAACATCACTTGATTTTTGAGTGTGTGATAACAAGTAAATGGAATTTCAAAGACCGCCGTATTTCAGTAAATACATAGCAATGCTCTTTGCCAAGGACGCACAGAAATGACAAACCGACTGGGAAGGATGTCAAAAACTAAGATGGATTCCACTGAGCGATATATGCAAATGCAGCACTAAAGAGACCATTGTGCTGTAGGTTAAATGAGGACGAGTGCATGAAAATGCTCTGAATGCGTACAGTCAGAGCATCAGACGGCACAAGGAGAAGCTCTCACCACTGCTATCACTGTAGTCTACTGAAACTGCCTGGGAAAGTCATATTACTCTCAGTGTTTGGGAACAATTTCCATAAACAGCAAATCTGCCCTTCAGGAGACATCATAATGAGCTTAGTCACTGGCATTGTTTGTTTTAAAATGAACTGCCACAGACAGGATAGTGTGATGTCTCAAACACCACTAATATCAGACAAATACATGCATCCCTGCACACAGCACAGTAGCACAGATTCATATTCATAGTCTCCTGGAGGCACTTGACTCTTCTTTTTAAATGTTTATTCCAAACATCTTGAGAAACTCATATGAATATGAGCTGGAGTTGGACCAAAGCAATAAATCACGTCCACATGAAGTGATTGTCTGGTAGTAAAACTGTCTCTAAGCTACAGCATGTGTCTTCATTGGTGCCCACAAGTGAAATGAGCTATCAGCCAAAAGCTGCCCTTAACAGCCAAACTTTTTTTTACTGTCATTGCCATATAAGAATAATAAATACTCAAAGTCCTCTACAGAGAGAGTCTGGTCCCAGCAGGGCTGTGACACAAATAGTGTTGCAGTCATTTCTGTGGATCACGTTGAGGTCTTCACACGACACCTACTGGACAAAACAATAACAGCAGGAACATGTTGTAGTCTCATATTCTTTTTTTTTCTGAGGTAGACCAACCTGTCATATCTGATAGATTCACATCCTGGTGGTTTAGTGTTGGAGCTTTACACTGTCTTCACCAACGTAACTACCACTTTTCCACCAGTGGGAAGAGAACTGCTAAAGTAAATAGTTAACTTTTTGACTGGTGAAAAATGAGCTGCAGATAATATTTATTAAAATTGCAAGTGGTCAAAGTTACATCATGGTCATGGTCGAATCTATAGAAGTCAGTGGCGAAAGCTGTATATTTGTAGTTAAGTTACAGATACAGTATCTCCAATTTCCACTAGTTAAAAAGGGAGAAGTGAACTGTATATATTGTCAGTTAGCATGCTATAGTCAGAATTACATTACGAACATCAGGTCTGCAACTAATATTTATCTTATAGTCAATTAATCTGTTGATTATATCCCCAAAACTTCCAAAAATGCTATTCAATCTACTGTCGTAGATGAGTTAAAAAAAAACAAACAAACAAAAAAAACACAGAAAAAAATTAGGAGTCCAGAATTCCAAAAATGTTGACTCTTTTTCTGTGTGTAAAAATTACTCTAACTGTTTGATTGATTATCTGTTCATTTGATGATTATTGACGGCTTATCAATTATTCATTGCAGCTGTTAAGTGATATATTGGCTTGGAATTATATCTAGTCAATAAGCAAGTGTTGATATCTATGAACATGTCTAATTAAATGTTAAAAGGGTTTGTCATAGTAGCCAGTCGGCTATAAACACAATCACAGCTCATTTTATAAGCATAGCCACCACAATATCGACAGCCAAAACCTAGTCAATCAAAGACCTCATCAGTACCAGATGAGAAAACAATCCCACCACAAGGTTTGTTAGGTAGCTGACCTGTAACTTTTAACGATAGGACACAAGTCTTGTCAGAAAATACACTTTACAAAGTTGTCATTTAATGTACAACTATCATTTCCCCCGGGCAATATAACTTTATCTTAAGTTAATCTTTCTTTTTTCCCCCCTCTTTTCTTAAACTTTGACTTTAAACCTCTGCTGTACAAAAAAGCTCCAAAAAAATTCAGAAATCTCATCTACAACTCTACAAAAAATGATGAATTCAATCGTTTGATGAAGATAATGCATAACAATATATATAATAACATGATCTCGAACTCTAGAAATACTAAATAGCCCCGGTGAGACTGCTTTCTCAGGAACCACCTCAATATTTAACTTCCTAACCTGTTATTTAAAAATGTTGCACAATGAATTTAACAGCCATGACTATTTATTTGTTTTATTGTTTATTGACAGGACAATGTACAATTACATTATGCTCAAGAGCAAGGATGCTTGTACCAGACTCTAGCTGTCAACTTAATTTCCATCTGTAGTCCTGGGGAAGGGGCAGAGGTCACAGTGACATATTTACAGAGCAGTCACACACATTTATTCATTCGTCACAAAAGGAACATACATCACTCAACAGACAAAGTGCATAATCACAACAAGTAATAAAACAGGCGTCACATATTTGTGTCATACCACAGGGCCAGAGTTACAGACAAATGTCTTGTGTATTATGCGTTATCTTTGTAATAGTGGTCATGTTTGAAGCTTAGTTGTTGGGCTTTGTTTTCATCTTGTATGCACATGTAAAACATGTAACATGTAAAAAGAAAGAAAGTAAGAAAGAAAGACAGAAAAGTGTGTTATTTGAGACATTTAGGTTGGAACTAAACTACAGTCGTCCTCAAATTTATTCATACAGAAGGAAAAAAACTGCTGTCACTGAAACAAGCTGTAATTGACAAAAGTAATAATAAATTACAAATGTAATGAAAATCATGACATTGCTTTTGAATTGTGGTTCAACAGAAATCTTTTTAAAAAACAACAACAACAACAACAACAACAAAACAAGCAAACTGGCATGATGGGACCCGTAAACTAATATTTTGTTGAACAACCCTTTGAGCCAATCATTGCAATCAAGTGTTTTCTGTAACTCTCAATCAGACTTCTACACCTGCTGACAGATATTCTGGCCCACTGCTCATCAGCAAAGTGCTCTAATTTGTTCGGGACAGCTTTTTTCCCCTATTATTATTCTTTTCACCCACAATTCAAAAGCAATGTCTTATTTCACTAAATTATAATTCAGCACATTTTTATTTATTATTGCTTTTTTCAGTTTCTAGTTATTTGAGTTACTATTGGGAAGTTTGCCTTTTCTTAAATGGAAGGATATGAATCAATTTGAGGATGACTGTATGTGGATTATGTGTTTTTTAAAAAAGGCTGTAAAATGGATGACAAAAGTAAAAGATACCGATTGTATTGTATTTAAAGTGTCTTATATCTTCCCTCTAGGCCTGTCTCTTTCATGGGGAATCAGGCAAACAACAAAGGTATATATATATACATATATATTTAGCAGGTGCCTGATTGAAATCTTGACTGTCAAACAAGGAGTATTTTCTTGTCTCCTGCTGACATCTAGTGGCCACAAGGAGAGCTGCAGTTATACCAGTTACATGTTTTGTGACTGAAGTTTGTTTCTGCACTTGTTTCTGCTGCCTCCAAGTGGCCAAAAATATGTTATATGGGGATAAAATCTTGAGCAGAGGTCCAGGACCAGGACCACACCTCAATCACTCCCCTTCTTGTACATCTATAAACGCTATTTAGCGCTTTACACGTGTTCGTTCTCGCTTGTCGTGCACAGAGCAACACACTCAGCCGTCTGAAAGTTTTTAGAAAACTCTGACTCACCACAGACCTCTCATCCATCAGCCCTCCATGAGGGAACACTCAGCCCGGCTCCAGATCTCGTCCACGCCGACCAGCCTGATCCATAACGAGGTCGAGCGTCCAGAGAAGCCGCCGCATCTGGAAAAGATCGCCACGCTCCCAAACTCCCGACAGATCCTCCAGCGATGTCCTTCCACATTAAATATCAGCTATAGGTAATCCGAAACAGTAATAGAAAGACTTCATCTGTCACCGCGCTTACAACAAACTTTTTCCAATTTCTTTCAAACTCCTGGGGTTTAGATCACGTGACCACAACACTCCTCGATCCGGCAGACCAACGTCATCAAGCTACCTGTAGCTCCGCCCACTTAAAAAACCATGGATGTGGGTCTTCAGACGGCTTAAGAGAAAGTCCTCAGCTGCCACCTTGCTGACAACGAAGTCAAATTATTTAAATTCCTGACAAACTCTCCAAGCTTTCAACACATGATAAACCACAATGATCCTCTTCCCATGGCTGTGCACCCCATCATGATGTCAACAAGCTCTCCTTAGCTCCGCCCAGGTTGCCAGGTGTGATTCATCCTACCCACCAGCAACCTACACCAATCTGTTCCCATCCCCACCACTACAACCGTTTCCAACATTGGGTACCAACCCATTCCCTGCAAACTTCCTTTTTCTCTCTCATGCTATCTGCACTGGGTTGCCAGTTCCTATTGTGTACAACTATAAGCTAGCACCAAGCTTGCTTACGTACAAGAGCATAGCCTTTAAGATAGCGTGAGGCCTATCTCAAAGTCCATGCCTGGCCAACCTACGACTGAAACGCATTTCGGCTGCTTGTGCTTGCAATGTCGTTCTTCCATCACCAGCTAGAGCTCATGACCATAGGTTAGGGTTGGGATGTAGACTGATCAATAAATTGAAAGCTTCACCTTCAAACTCAGCTCCCTCCTTATCACGATGGTCCAGCACAATGCCCACATTACTACTAATGCTGCACCAAGCCACCTGTACATCTCACTCTCCATTTTTCCTCATTTATGAACAAGATCCCAAGCAGCAGCCAGTTCTTCCTAGACATGCTCCTTATGTCGGTTTTGGGGGTTACTCGGTCAACGATGGTCTCCATGCTGTAGCCTCCGGAGTTCTCACAGTTCCTTCAAAAACCTCCCCAACTGGCTTCAGCAGTATTCAAAATCTCCCCATTGTTAGCGCTACCGTTTTATAGAGCCACAAATGGTAAAGTAAACAATGTATTTTATTTAAAAAGCGTATTTATTACATATGGTCATCTTCTACTGACATCTGTCCTCCTATCCTAAGGCATAAAGAATTTATTTACTTATTGAATTTCCCTTCTGGGATAAATAAAATATTTTTAATTTCATTCATTCATTTCATAAACACATTCCAACGTCCTACGTCACAACCTCTAGCCAGCACTTTTTCTGTTGGCCTTCTTCAGATCCTGCAATTCATACAGTCCATTGCAAAGTCGACTAACAAGTCAAGTTTAATCTGCATCATCATCATCACCTCTTCCACATCCTGTATTTGACCTTCCTCCATCTCTGACGACTGCCAGGTCTATTCACTCAAATACAGCAAATCAATCAAGCAGGTAATCCAAAGCCCATTACAAACCACAAACCAAACTAGAAACTAGATTCACACCTAAGCCCATACAAATGTATAGTACACCATATACAATGCTTCACCCTCTGGCCCTCAGTTTGTTACAGAGACTGGTCAAATCACAGTTTTATCCCGATTCCTCTTCCACTTAGAGCAAGTCCCGACAGCATCCAGAATCCAAGCCCATTCTATTGGCCACTCCTTCCTTACTGTTGCAGCTTCCAGCTGAGTGGTTCCGCTCCACCTAAACAAGGCCATAGGCCTCAAGGGCATCAGCTTTTCATCTGTTGCAACCCTTGAGACCTACATTACAACCACTCTTTTTTGGGGGTCTGCCAGCCAGGGAGCTGCTGCTGATCCCTGAATAAGCTTTTCCTCACACTGCATCAGCTCAACTCAGTCATCACCAATATAATGCTCATTACCATCCAATAAACATCCATCCATGATCTATACACCAACAATTTAGAATCACAAATTAACCTCAACATGTTTTTGGACCTTGTGGGAGGAAGCCAGAGAACTCGGAGAGAACCAATGCTGTACGGGGAGGACATACAAACTCCACGCAGAAAGATCCCGGGTGTCCTCACTGGGACGCGAACCGGCGACCTTCTTGCAGCCCACTTTGCAGCCTATCCAATAAACAATCAAGTTTAATTTAATGGTGTTGTCCTTGCTGGTGAATGTACATTTGAGAATGGCTGTTTATTTAATTCCAGAAGTAATTTTGGCTCATGTTGTCTTTTAAAACTGTTCTACATATTTGTTTGACCTCTTATTGTTTCTTATGACCTGTGGTAATTCAGTCTTTGGCCCAACTAATATTTTGTACCAAATGCTAAAAGGAGGTAGAAAGTGACTGGATTTCTCTGGTTGGTTCTTGAGGATGTTTTAACTCTCATCCAAGAGACTTCTAACATAGATGGTGGGGTGTTTTAAATATTTATTCACAACCCCAAATCATATGGCTAATGTCCAGTTAGGCTCACGTGAGTGGAGGTGTGAAACTGCCAGGTGAGGCACGACTCAAGGTGTTAATGGTGACGAAACTGGGAAGAGAGTACCTGATAAGTGTTGAAGAGGACCCTCGCCTCTGTTTAGAGATGGCTTCCTTCACACCTCTCTCAAACCATCAGTCTCCCTGTATAGAATGTAAATATTGCTGTCTTCAAAGGAGTGTACTTGTCCTTTAAATACAGGTGGACTGTTGAGTCTTGTTCTGAGGCACTTGCTCTCCTGTGTTGTACCATGCACATAGTCTCTCCTATATATAGGTCTGTGTACTCCTTGCTTCATATGACTGTGTATACAGTGATGCTGACCTTGTGTTTGGGTGTTTTATCCTGAGAGTACCAGTTTTGTCTCATAAGGTTGCTTGGTCTGGGGTGCACAAGGATGTCGTTTGAAGAAAACTCCTCTTAGTTTCTCAGACACTCCAGCTGCCCACAGTATTGTTCCACCTGTTCTTCTTTTCCTTTCTGTTAGACATTTTTTCTGGAACTTTTGCTGAGCTAATGAAGGCCCAGATGGAATAGTCACGTGCTTTAAGTGCTGTCTTAATATGTGTGTGCTCCTTTTGCTATCACATTTTTTTTTGTAAATTTAAGGCGCAAATATGCAAATGGGATATTTTGTAATGAAATATGCATTAATTTGCATCAGTTTCCTATAACCGAAGTGAAGTAAAAGTTGTCATATCAGGTAAAATATGTAAATGCTCTCAGTTAAGAAACAGACATTGCATCACCATGTGTTTCAGCCAATCCCAGTGGCTGTATAGTAGCTCTGTGACATTGCATACAGCATCATATTTTTTTGTCAATCATTCAAATAACATTACATATTCAAGAAAATCATAAGAAATAATATTCATTAAGAAAATGTTTACACTGTTGGTTTTGTTCCAAGCTGATTGTCTGCTTGTTAACAAAGAGAGCAGCTGAGTAAAAATAGATCAAAGGTGAGCGCTTGCTTGTAAATTTCCACGTGTGTACTCCATAATGTTCTTAACTTCTTTCTCATTAGTCTGCTGTGCCTGTTACTAAAGCAGCCTCTTACATAAAAACATGAGGTCATATGTTTACCTGACCCATTTGCTAAAAATTAAGCAGACTGTGTCTATAATGTATGGCACAGACATAAGCTGTACCCAATTGTCTATGAAAGTTTTGTTTGATTGATCCATGTATACAAATAGCAAATAGAACAGAAGAATGATATATATAACAAAGCTCACACTGATTATGTTGGCAACAATACATTTCTGTTTTGTCAGTAAATGTGCATATGAGGATATCAAGAAATTCATGTATGTAAGGGTTGTTTTTTTGTTTGTTTTAATAAACGTACAGTTTTAAAATGCATATGCTGATTATCAAATTTCCTCCATGTCTGTGCCCCTCATTTTTCCCCCCAAAAGTGGATTAAAATAGTTATGCAATGCATATGTAATTCAGATATGTAACTCCTTTGAGTCTTTCTGATGAGCACTAGGATGATTAACTGTCCTGGAACGCTGTTAAGAAGCTCTGTGCCAGAAAAGAGAGACATAAATGACGCCCCTGTTTTGCAACAGCAGTGGTACAGTCTGGTTTGATCTCAGTGTTCGGGAACTACCTGGACAGGGCCGGGCCGACCTCATTGGGCTGAGGACGGGGGTGGCGTGGGATCAGGGTTAGAGGGAGATTAACCACATGCGGGCCTATAAAGCCTCGTTGTAATCCGCACACTGCACACAAATTCAGAGCAACAAACTACTCCACGGACAGCATTTTTGCTCACAAGCTCATCGTGTTTTTTGAAGGCATTAAAAGAAGGAAGAAGAGCAGATTTTGGATTTAACACAGCTTCATACTGTCAAAAAATACCTTACAAGGGACTTCTGAACAGTCTTCAGCATCAACAGAGATATAAAGGAGCAGAAAGAGAAAAATCATGAAAAAGGGAAAGGTATGGTTTTACCTTCTTTGCCTAATTGTGTTGCAGTTACATTGATTTCCTTCGATCTAACCTGTGTTCTCCAAAAATTAGGGGCACAAATCACAAATCAAGTCACAGCTTTGACACATGTCTCTTGTTTTAATGGTAACCTCATAACCCGGCTCAACATCATGAACCGAACAGTGACACAAAATGGCAAAGTTGTAGGATTTTTGATGTCTGTGAAAGTGACATTGCTTTATTCTTTACGCTTGTGTTATTTATAGTGGTTATGCAAATATGGAGCCTTTTGAACTGATCAAACAAGAAGGTTGCTTTGAAAAAAAAAATGTCTGCAGCCTGTTTGAACTGTAAAAATTCTGTGTGTCACTGACTCTGTGCAGCTAAAGCAAAAGATGAAAGGAAAAGTAGTAGCGGGTTGGTTTGTTTGTGAGAGTAAATACACTTTTTCACACTTTATAGTGGCTATAAAAGCAGCTATACTTTTTTATACAGGTGAGTGAAAATGTAATGACACTCCAAACTGTCCTTCTGTCGCAGCAGGTGGGCGACAACAATGAGCCTCCCAGTTATCAGGAGGCAACAGCAGGTGAGAAAAATACCGTCCTTGTAGTTTGACAGATTGTGTCAGTGACAGAAGTAACAGAACACTGGCTCTAAATAGATCCTAGATTTTGTGTTATTGTAATTTTCTTCTATCTTATCTTATTAATATTATTATTCAGATAAAACAAATTGACAACAAATAGATTTTTTAGAGCTATTTTTCTGTCAATATTGTTCTGTTCTCATTTAATTTTTAAATTTTGATTACTTATCTCAATAATTCGATCAAAAATACATCAGTAACATTCAAACCTGACCTCACGATGACCTCATTTGTCCTCATATATCTCCATCTCTTCTTTCAGGCTATGAGGAGATGCAGGCCCAGTTCAGCTGGGACGACAAGACCATCAGACGGACTTTCATCAGGAAGGTACTGAAAACTTATTTAAGAAAAAAAGAAAAAAAAACACCTGCACAGAAGACTACACACCACAGTGATACTTCTATTGCTCTGACACAGTGTTTGTCTGCCTGTATCTGCAGGTCTACGCCATTCTCATGCTGCAGCTGTTTGTCACTGTGGGAGTTGTTTGTCTCTTCACATTCTGGTAATCACTTCTGCATTTCTTTTGCTTATTTTCTTTACCGCTTTTATCAGAGTGTAAATTAAATCTGTTTGGTTTTTGCCTCTTACAGCGCACCTGTGAGGTTTTACATTCAGACTCATCCCGGCTTGTACATGGCATCTTAGTAAGTGAAAACACATCATTACCCACGCTGCACCGTCTCTCTTTTCATTCACATTTTTTATTAACTTGTCTGTCTTTTCCCCCTTTCAGTCTCATGTTTTTTGCCACCTACATTGCGCTGTCCTGCTGTGGAGACCTGAGGTGAAGTATCTTTGCAGTATAAATAAAACAGATATTGATTTCAGTGCATACAGGATGCTATTTTGATATCAATTTGTATTTAAACAGTTCTGACAAATGTTCTTTTTGCCTCAACAGGAGGCAGTTTCCTTGGAATGTCATTCTGCTTGTTCTCTTTGTAAGTACTTTTCAGTATGAAATCATTTGCTATATACTAAAATACTGTATGTATGCTCCTTTTTCAGCATTGAGTCTAACTGGAAGTATGTTTTCCTTACAGACTTTGAGCATGGCCTTCATGATGGGATTTGTGTCAAGGTAGTTATACATGCGTTTGTACATGTGTGTTTCTCAGTATACATCTGTATGAGACACTGCTTTACAGCATTGATAGTTGAAACTAACATCCATGAGCTCTCGCCCTCCAGCTTTTACAACACCAAGTCAGTGGCGCTGTGTTTGGGAATCACAGCTCTGGTGTGTCTTTCCGTCACTGTATTCAGCTTCCAGAGCAAGGTGAGAAGAACTAACTTCAAACTGCTTTCGTAAAGCCCAACAACACAACAGAGAGATGACACAAGTGCTTCATGCGTTTTTCATCGCAGGTTGATGTCACGTCCTGCCAGGGCGTCCTGTTTTCACTGTGCATCGCCATGCTTCTCTGTGCCATCACCCTCTCCATTGTCGTCCCTTTCGGATATGTAAGTTTCCCTCCTTCACCTGTTCTAAAACAATCCGTTTATTTCCACAACCCTTCTAGAGGAGGACTAAATTAGCAGAGTTAAACAACAGTAGCAGGTTGGTGCCACAGGTGCTGCTGGCTGCACTTGGATAATAGAAAGGGATTAACCCCGCAGTTAATCTTTCCCCGTGGTGTCTTACTTAAATTAGCATCCTGCTTCCCTTCTTAACTGTGTTTTGTAATGCTTTTTATTTTGTACCACAGGTTCCCTGGTTACATGCCATCTACGCAGTGATAGGAGCCATCCTCTTTACTCTGGTGAGAATTAGATCTTTCAACAACATCTCACTTTTATCAGGCATTTTGTGTGTTTTCTCTGTTTTGAAATTTCTTTTCTCTGTCTGTCTTTTTCTGACACAGTTTTTGGCATTTGACACTCAGCTGCTCTTAGGGAACAAGCGCTACACTATAAGTCCAGAGGAATATGTTTTTGCCACTCTCAGCCTCTACCTGGACATCATCTACCTGTTCAGCTTCCTCCTACAGATCATGGGAGGAGGCCACGACTGAAGCATGTCGAGCACCATATGCACTGTTTGAAGTCTTAACAAACTCAGCAACTAACTTAGATTCATGTTCTTCCAAAACAAGTCGACATCAGGGCTGTACTGTTTTTGATTAGAGAAATCTGCCAGGTCTTTGCCGGTGGTTATGTAATCCCATCTGTACAATCCTGCTGCGTGTTGTGTCACTGTGCCCCGACACAACCCACACCTGCCAATTGTAGTTGTTCTCTGCACTCTGGCAACCCTGCTTAGAGGTTTGTTGATTGCTCCGGGGGGGCCTACAGTGACCTCCACATCCTACAGTGTGTGTTTAAACAGTCTTTCAGGCTCAGAAGTGGATAAAAGCAGCCACAAACACAAGTGAGAAATCAGCTTCCTTGGCTGCATCACCCTGTTTATCCATCACTGAGCCAATATGGATATTCAGGGAATCTGCACTTTCAAACTCAGAGGGGTTGAGTTTGCTTTAATAACCCGTTTGGTCAACAACATGTAGATTTACTTTTATACATGACAAGTTCAGTGTTTTGTATGTGTGTTCTGTGCTGTGTCAGCTCAGTTTGATGGATGTTTTAAGGGGGAAATACTGTGTTAGGGAAACCTAAAATGATGAAGGATCCAAAGCTAACAAAGGCCCACCACAAAGGGAAAGTGTGTCTATAGCTGCATACAATATCTTTAGTTATTAGAGATCTGTTGCAATTTCTATTGTCAATGTAACGAGGCCTTTCAACTGTGACAGAATTAGAAAATATTTCGGTTGATGATGGGAATACAGGAGTTATACATGTTTAACTGTGTAGTGAATTGAATAATATTTTAATTATTTCTTTTTTTTTCGATAAAATGTGCAGTTAAATTATTAGTGTATGCATTTTTTATTTATTTATTTATTTATTTTTAGCATTTTTTTTAACTTCAGTCCTCTACATTACAAACAACAAGTGGATTTAGAAAACGGACAGATGATGAGGTGGTCACTCAGTGTTGACCTGCTGCAGGAACAGCTGTAAATACGTCACCAGGTAAAGGACATGTAATGATAAACACAGTTCACCCAGATGTTGAAACAAGGCTTTTATTAAAAAAAGAAAAACTGACATATTCAAATTCAAAGAGAAAACCAAGAAAGAAGAAGTCAAATCTTATCTCAATCAATAAAAAAAACACAAGTTACAGACAATTTAGCAACTCTGGCACAGGAAGACAAAAGTAGCCAAGTGGCATTTGCAAAAAAAAAACAAATATCAAAACCTCTTTCCTCTAACAAAACTGTACAAAATGAGTTCTTGTATAAATAAGAAAACCGTTCGCAAGCAGGCAGTATGAGATGAGACCAATGAATTTTCAAAATGCTTGTGATTCACACAAACTTGGTTCATACAGTGTTGAGCAGCGAGATGCGTTTTTCGTATATTCTGTTCAGAAACGTCCCCTTAAGGTTACATTTCTGAGTTAGAGTGATTTCAAATTTAACTATTTACACTGCTCACTAGCAAAACAACAGTAAACTCTTTACTATGTATTATTGTAATTAGATAATTGGCGCACTGGTATCAACCAAATTAAAATAAAAGTTAGCGATTTTGAAAATCCAGATTGGACCACATCTCACCACCTGTTTGGAAATCCTGTTTTAGCAGCAAAACATTTTGAAACTATGAAATAAGTCATCCAATCGCCGTTAGGATGGACAAAAAGAGCATTTACAAATTGACGTGGACTAAAAATAAGTGCAATGAGGTTAGTTTTCTTTCAAATGCTATGTACTATTGGTGGAGTACGCCGCTGCTCTCGTTATTCCTATAACTGTCATGTAATTTGAAACGCCAAATTCATCTCGGAGCACAATGACTTCCTGTAATATCATCGTTGTAAAAGAAAAATTAAATAAATAAACACTGCATTGTAACAAGTCATTTCATAGTTCCAAAATCTTGTTTTTGTATTAAAAGTGATGGCTAATACATGGAATATCATTTCTCTGAACATTTTCCTTCATGGTGCACTGAATCTGAAAACTTGCTAGTCACTGTGTTATCTGGACAGGTTACAAATCATTTAAGAAAAAAGAAAAAAAAAAATCAAGAAAACACGCGAGAAGAAACAAACGAAATGGTGAAAAAGGGCGAGTGGAAGGAAAGAAAGGCTATTTACAAAATTAGCTCTCGTGTCTGAAAACTCTCGTGTTTGACACCTTCACAAAAGCTGCGCTCTGTGTTCCTCCTGGATGTCTGCTGAGGTCGAAGTTCAACACTCCACTGACACATTTATTTAGCTAGTCGTGAAAATGAGCTGAAATATTCTGTTTTTATGCGACAGAGCCAAAAAGAACTTCTCAGAAAATGTTATACTATCGTCATAATGTAGAACGAGTGCACGTCAACACTCTTATTGCAGCCTTTTCTCTTTCTGAATCTATCAGAACCAAAAAAAAAAGGCGTCTTATCCAGCTACACACAACAGATGAGCATCTGCGGAGGAGAGCAGTTTGTCCGAGACAGAGAGCTTAAAAAACGGTGGGTGGCTACAACATCTTTGGTTGCAGAAATGTACAACAGAAACACGCAGCAAAAAAAAGTCGACGTGAGGAAATGACAAGTCAGAGACAGAATCATCAAACTGTGAGCCTCGAGAAAGACGTTATCACGCCCCGTTTTTCCACTGGATTCAAACATGGATGGTTGAAGAGCGGGAAGAAAAGCTCCTCGGAAACCCTACAGCTAACTTGAGACGACAACTAACTCAGTGGCGTTCAAAGAAGCCTGCTGCCATTTCCGCAGTATATACAAATCAATGTCAATCCTATGAGAAATCAGGCAGTTCATCCAGAGAGAAAACATTAAGGCTTAGCTAAAAATAGTTTTTGCAGAATTTTGGATCACTCACAAATTCATTCAGACTTGCTGTCTCACTAAAGGCTGTAAGAATTGTCTTTAATGGCACTTCCATGGTCTAGTGAGCAGTCCTTTGTAAAACCATTATTTCTATTATCTACATATCTACAGTTTTTGATGTCTGTATAAATTAAAGTTCAATATATTTGGATGTACGTGGTGACATGAGCTCCACTCCATGTGCTGACTGACAGAATATGAAACAAACCCAGGTTTGTCCGTACTAAGCTTGTTTGAGCCGCAACACTGATGCAGCATCAGTATGAATCTTTTAGATCAGCACTTAATGAGCTCATCGTTTGGTTCAGCTCTCCGTTCTGAAAGGCTTCCTACAAACAGGCCAGACGCAACATCGGGACAGACGACGCAAGGTTTGGAACGGAAATTCATGTGAAAAGATAAAACAAGAGAAAACTCGATGTGCACAAGAAAACAGCATCAATCCTTACGCAGAGAAAAAAAACTAACATCTACTCTCTATAAAAAGCTAAAATCTACAGCTAAACTCTAACCTACTTCTAAGATTAATTCATCAAAAAAAAAAAATAAGGCAAATTAGCTCAAAGATTTTCAAGTGACAGACAAAAAAAATAAAACAAAACAGGAGACATTTAACTTTCTACAAACTAAAAAAAAAAAAAAATCACTGACAGAAAACTCAGGTGACAGCAGCATTGAAATAAAGACTTACAGCTCCCTTTCCTAACAAACAAATTATTCTCAGGGATTTTGTTAGTCTTCCGTTTGATTTCCCTCATTGCTTTTGCTAAACTATATCTTAATTTAGTAACTGCATTCTTCTTTGTACACAAATCACTCGGTAATCTAAAACTGCTCGTTTCTAAAGCACGTCATCCCTTTGATGGAGGATGAATTTAATGATACCTGATGGTTTGCCACAACAAAACCGCTTAAAACCACTTCTCGCAGACGGGGACGTGACCTGGAGTTACACTGAAACAACAGGAGGATTATTGTGCTGCATTCGATGTGCCCTGGATGTGTGAAGCGGGAATTTGAATTCACGTAAAGGTGGGAGGGGAAAAAGCCACAGCTGCCTCCAGGATTTCTTTTTTTGGTCAGCTATAAACAGTGACAATATTCATACTTTAGTGTTATGTTTACTTAAAATAGAGCCATATATTAAAATGTCCAGAAAATGTAGGCAGCAAATATGGAACACAGAATGTACATTAAGCAAAGCTAACTGTGTTACCTTCAGGAAATAGTGAAAGCTTGAGTGAACCGTGACAATATTGATGCATTTCAGCGGATTTAATGAACTTTCTTACAGCTAAACTCAATAAAAGCAAAAAAGATGTGGTCCTTATTTTGGGGGGAAAGTTTCTGGAGGACTTCTGGTGGTTTTTTCTTAGATTTTTTTCAAGTCAGACGTCGAAAAACTCCCAGTTGCAATCGAATGCAGCATTAGAATGAGCAAGTGTGATATATTTATTTTTTTTAGATGGTGAAGACAGAACTGGATGTGAATTGAAAGTCATCCAACCATCAAAAAAAAAAGATTTTCATGAGCCAACTATTAAAGCTCAATGACGCGTGGGGTAAAGATCTTCATGTCCATTTCATCTTGCCTTTATAGACTACAGTATTAAATAAGGTTTTTTCTATAAATGTATGTTTCAATGACCTAAAAACTCTAAAAAATAGAACTATAATTCAAATATAAATATAAATAATTGATTGTCTTTTGTTCACTTATGAAAGGATGATTTAAAGTTAAAAAAAATGAATTCGATTAAACTATAAACAGTCAATGTTAATATCATCTGTGCATGAATAGAAATCTCTGCAGCAGTTACAGGAAGAAGTAGCTTTAAACGGTTTACCTCCCACGGTTAGAATGACTCGACACATCAGACCAGCAAAAGTGTTTGTAAGGTTTTAAATCTGTACAAATTGTTGCCCCCGCTGCTGCAAATAGAATGTCAAACAACAGACATCAGGAAATAAAAATAAAAGTTTGCATATTTTACAAAAAAATAAAAGACACATTGTGTTTCAACTCTTCCTTGAATCACTCTGAAACGTCCAGAATGCTTTGTTAAAAATAAGAATTTGTTATATTACGTGCACAAAAATAATGCTC